AAATTACCACCAAGGAGGGATATCAATCATAAAATTGAGTTGCTGCCTGGTATGGTTGCTCCTGCACAGGCTCCTTATCGTATGGCTCTTAAGGAAATGGCTGAATTACGCAAACAATTGAACGAGTTGTTGGATGTTGGATTGACTCAGCCATCTAAGGCTCCATATGGTGCCCCTGTTTTATTTCAAAAGAAACAGGATGGGACGATGTGAATGTGTGCACACTACAGGGCGCTGCACAAAGCAACTATAAAGAACAAGTATCCGGTTCAATTGGTGCAGGATTTGATGGACAGGTTGAGTAAGGCATGCTGGTTCACAAGACTTGATCTCAGGGCAGGCTATTAGCAGGTTAGGATAGTAGAAGATGATGAACCAAAAACAACATGCGTAACTAGATATGGTTCATATGAATTCCTTGTAATGCCATTTGGGCTGACAAATGCTCCGGCAACATTTTGCAACTTAATGAATAATGTATTGTTTGACTATCTTGATGACTTTGTTTTTATCTACCTAGATGATATTGTCATTTATAGTCGAACATTGGAGGAACATGTTAATCACTTAAGTTTGGTTCTATATCAGTTGAGAAAATACACACTTTATGTTAAGATGGAAAAGTGTGAGTTTACTCACAGGAAATAAGATTTTAGGGGCATCTTGTTAGTAAAAACCAAGTTCGAATAGATCCTAAGAAAGTGCAAGCCATTGTTGATTGGCAGGCACCTCGTCATGTGAAGGATTTGAGGTCGTTTCTTGGCTTGGCTAACTATTATAGAAAATTCATTGCTGGTTACTCAAAAAGGGCAGCGGCTTTAACAGACTTGTTGAAGAAGGATGTTAAGTGGGTTTGGTCTGAACGATGTGATGAAGCATTTCAGAATTTGAAGAATGCTATTGCATTTGAACCTATACTCAAATTACCTTATTTTGAGTTACCATTTGAAGTGCACACTGATGCGTCAGACAAAGCAATTGGTGGCGTATTAGAGTAGGAAGGTCATCCAGTGGCCTTTGAAAGTAGGAAATCGAATGATGCTGAACAGCTATACTCAACACATAAAAAAGAGATGGTTGTGGTGGTACACTGCTTGTAGGTTTGGAGAGTTTATCTCCTGGGTACTCGATTTGTAGTAAGAATTAATAATGTAGCAAATACATTTTTCAAGAAACAGAAAAAGTTGAGTCTTAAACAAGCACGATGGCAAGAATTCCTGGCAGAATACGATTTCGTGTGGGAACATAAACCAGGAAAACACAACCAGGTTGCTGATGCGCTGAGTAGAAAAGAAGTATTTGTTGCAGTAGATTCAATTTCAAAACTCGAAACTGATTTCTATGATAGAATCAGGTTGTGTGCTGCAAATGATTCATTGTATGTTAAATGAATGGGTCAAGTGCAAGATGGCACAAAGAGGAACATCATTCTGCTTGGCCTGGACATCCAGGTGCTGAAAGAATGTTAGCCTTACTATCTCGTGTTTATTTTTGGCCAAAGATGGAAGATGATATAGAGGCATACATTAAGACTTGTCATGTTTGTCAAGTTGACAAGACTGACGTAAAAAGGAAGCAGGTTTTTTGCAACCTTTGCATGTTCCTGAAAGGCCGTTGCTATCAGTAAGCATGGATTTTATTTCTGGATTCCCTAAAGTAGACGACAAAGCATCTATCATGGTGGTAGTTGACAGGTTTTCAAAATATTCTTATTTTGTTGCTGCACTGAACTATGTTCATCCGAAGTTGTTGTGATTTGTTCTACAAATATGTGGTTAAGTGTTTTGGTGTTCTGGCTGACATCGTGAGTGATAGAGATACAAGGTTCACTGGTAGATTTTGGACAGCTTTGTTCAATATGATGGGAACTGAGTTAAAATTTTCTATTGTGAATCATCCACAGACAGATGGACAGACGCAAAGAATTAATCACTTGTTGGAAGAATACTTGAGGCACTATGTGACAGCAAGTCAACGGAATTGGGTGACATTGTTAAACACTGTGCAGTTCTATTATAATTTGCACAAGTCGTCTGCAACAGAAATGAGCCCCTTTGAAATTGTTTTAGGCAAACAGTCTATGATGCCACTAGATATTGTCAAATCTAAAAATCAGGAAAAGTGTCTAGCAGCATACAGGGTTGCAAGGGACAGACTTAAATTGTTATCCGAGGCACAGGATAGCTTGCGCAAGGCTCAGCGGCGCATGAAGAAGTATGTTGATCAACATCGTCGCTCAGTTGAGTTCAATGTGGGTGACAAAGTGTTACTGAAACTTACTCCACAAATCTGGAAACAAATTGTAAGTAAGAATAGACATCGGGGTTTGATTCCTAAGTATGATGGTCCATTCGAAGTGGTGAAACGAGTGGGCAAAGTTGCTTATAGATTAAAGTTGCCAAAAAGGTTGAAAATTCATCCCACTTTCCATGTGAGTTTCTTGAAACCTTACTTTGCAGATGCAGATGATCCGAACAGAAACAGGTCAAAGAGGGCTCCTCCATCAGTATCTACACAGCATGATGTTGAAATTGAGAAGATCCTTGATCACCGGGTTTTGGGCACATATAAGAAGAATACTAAGACATAATTATTGGTTCACTAGAAAGGCAAGAGTGTAGCTAATGCAGTTTGGGAGAAGGCGAAAGACTTATGGCAGTTTGATACTCAAATCGAGGACTATCTTAAAACAGTCTCGATGAGGACATTGAGTTCAAGTGGTGCGGGTGGTCTGTTAGACCCGTAAACTACTTGATCTAACTACGTGCAGACATGTCAAGGACTTGGGCATTGGTCTTGACATGAATGGGGGCAAAACAGCACAACACAGGTTCAAGGTGCTTGGGTGTTGGCAAGGCAGCTTGAACATGCAAGGCTTACATGCAGGCTAGAGTCATTGGCAATGCAGTGTGTTGGCTTGACAAGGCAAAGCTGTGAAGAGTTGACAATGGCAAGAACAAAGGCAGTTCATGTGAATTGCTAAAATAAAACTAAGTGTTGGAGGATAGCTAAAATATTCTAAGTGTTGGAAGCTAGCTGAAATATTCTAAGTGTTGGAATGTAGCCTGAAATATTCTAAGTGTTAGACTATTAGTATTTCGTGTGGATAAGGATGTAATTTGAATTAAATTCTATCTGTTAGAAATATAGCTATTGGAAATTTAGTTTGAACCTGTGATAACAAGTGTCGGACAGGTGTCATTTGTAACTGCCGCATGTAACTGCCATGTGCAGAAATTTTACTAAGGGTGGAAATTTCGTCTAAGGCGGGGAGAGTGTGTTTTCTAGCCTTAGACAAATTCGTGAAGCCTTCCTTTTGTATTAATCATCAGATTAATCAAGGTTGGGACGAGTTCCTATAAATGTTGTTTGTTGTTTAACTTTTCTGATTAAAGTATTTCTATACTTAGTCAAATTTATGGGTGTAAGATAGGTTGAGTGTCGCAGGCGTTTGCAAGACTGCCTAGAGTGGTGTTCGGGAAAAATAAATCGACCCTCTTTCAGACCCTTATAAAGTTTGAGTGTCTTTTTCTTTTAGAAAGTGTCATGGTTGAATGGGGCAATTATATTTTCTCTTAAATCATTGAATAGACTATTAGCAAATTATCACAATTCAATTCTTTTCATAATTTTACGATATAAGTAAAACTATTTAATTTGTCAAGCTCAAAAGACTCCTTAAGTATGATATAGTATTTTCATAAGAAGAGCACTAACGATGAAAGTAATAAAAAATAAAGCAAAGTCGATAAATATAATAATCACTCTGTCCCAATTTATATGATTTGCTTTCATTTTTAGTTAGCCCCAAAAGAATGACATATTTCTATATTAAGTATATCAATTTAACTTTAAAATATTTATTTTACCCTTAATGAAATTATTTATAGAAAACACAAATTTCTATCACTCATTTTAAGGAATCGTTGGTGTGATGGATAAGGATAGTCTCCGGGATAAGTTTAAAGTACCTTTTATTTCCTTGCTTGGTTGCAACCGAGATAAGTTATCCCTCCATTTGGTGGTATAGTAATCCCGAAATAGACTAGAAAATGACAACTATATCCCTTTAAACCCTTGTATATATATATTTTTCACGTTTATGTATATTTACATTATTTTTAATACCATACATAATAATATTCACTACTCCTTATTTTTGTGATATTATTTATATTTTTCTATTAAAAAATTCGACTATGTAAATATAGTTTTTAGTTATGAATTTATTTGACTAATTCTTATATTTGTTTGTATATTGATTTCTCAAAATCTTCTTTCGCTTTGACAAACTTAAGAGGGAAATTCTATTTTTAAGCAAAAATAAGAAAAAAAAATACTTTTAAATATAAAACAAGAAATATTTAAGCTAAAATAAAATGAAAGTTTTACTTTTATAAATGAGTAATTAAAGTTTGGAAAGAAAATATTAAAAAACTAAATAAAGTGAATGATAATTTTGTAAGCAAACAACTCGTTTTTAATATTTATGTAATATATATTATTTTGAATATAACAAATCAAACACTCAATAGAAAATAATCTCAACATAATTTATCCTATCATAATTAATATTAACAGAATTTATCCCATCATAGTTCATATTCAAACAAAACGACCCTTTTAAGTTTAGACTTTACATATTGTTGATGTCAAATTTGTAAGACATATGAGGCCAATCTTTTCATTTTCGGATCTTTAAAGGTTAAAAGATTCTTTTTTCATGATGTTTTCTTTCAACTTTTCCTTTTTTAACTTTTTTTTTAAAAAAAATGTCATTTAATTAATTAAAATACAACATCTAATAATATTAACATAAATAATTAGACGAATAAAGCAATAAACTCAAATTTTTCCTTTTTAATTAATATGGATTGTGATGCATGATAATAAATTTTTTTTTTGTTAATTAAAAATCTTAATTCGAAACCTTAGATAATATGAACTTCGAGCATTGAACGAAAAAAAAAAATTAAATGCCAAAGGTTATTCTAAATCCGTTTTGGCTTATATATATAATTATATAAGAAATTCTCTTGAGTTGAACGAAAAGAACCTAAAGTAAAATATACACCCATTCCCGAGTCCTCCTTTTGTTGCTGCTACTATTTTAAGATCAATTCAACAAAATCTAGATTTATCAATCATAAGAATTATTGTGATTTTTCAAGTATGTTTTTCTCCGGTGATCCTTCGACGAGAAAGCGAGTCGATTTGGGTGGCCGCAGCTCCAAGGAACGTGACCGACAGAAGCTTCTAGAGCAGACTCGTTTAGAGCGGAATCGTCGCCTCTGGTTGCGTCAGCAGAACTCTGCTGCCCTCAAAATTCAGGTTTCTCTTTTGCTTTCTATAATTCATGTTTCTTGCTCACAATGGTTTTACCCTTATTGGGTTTGAGAAAAGTTTTGTGGCAGCTAAAATTACTGTTTTACAACTAGTTCAGGATTGAAGCACAATTGATCAATTGATACTTAATTCCCAACTCAACTAATTCGGGACAGACGCTGATAATGTTGATAACCAATAAGTTTAGCCTTACTTAGGCTAGAATTTGAGTATTTATGAGATGGCTTTGCAGAATTGAATGATGTATTATTTGATAAAAATCAGGTTAGGGATCTAAGAACTTGAGAAAGAAAATTCAAAAAAATAAAGAAACAAGTGCAAGCTAAAAAGAAACATACAACAACATATCTCGTGTAATACTACAAGTGGAATTTGGTGAGAGTTAGATATATGTAGACCTTACCCCTACCTTTGTGAGACAACCTATTTCTGGTACCAAAATAAACTGAAAATAAAGATAGAACAAGTGTGTGTTTGGTATGGAGGAAAATGTTTTCCATGGAAAATGTTTTCTTAGAAAATGTTTTCCCGGAAAACAAGTGGATTTTTGACTTATTTCCTCATGTTTTGGTTGGTGAGTAGAAAATATTTTCTGGAAATGATTTTTAGTGTTTGATTTATGAATGAAAAATGTTTTTGAGAGACATCTTTTAAATTTTACTAGAGTAAAAAATAATTTATGACATGAAAATATTTTTTAAAATCAAAATTATTATTTTTTTGGGGGCGGGGGGATGGGGAGGGGAGGGGAGGGGAGGGGATAGGAGTGAAAAAATAAAAATTTGAAGTTGATAGTATTGTTAAAAAACAAAATTAATTTTTTTGGGGATTGGGGTGGCTGGCCGGAGGGGGGGGAGGGGTAGGAGTTTAAAAATAAAAATTTGAAGTTGAAAATATTTTTAAAAAGCAAAATTATTTTTTTAGGGAGGGGTTGGGGGGGAGGGGGGGCTGGTCGGTGGGGATAGGGTCAAGGATCAGGTGAAAAAATAAAATTTTGAAATTGAAAATATTTATTTAAATTGATGTTTTTTCCAAAAAAAAATGTTATTTGAAATTGGAGGAGAGTTATGGAAAATGTTTTCCTTAATTTTTGAAGGGAAGTCATTTTCCTCAATTTTAAGGAAAATGAGTTGATTTGGAAAACATTTTCCGAAACTTTTGTCCCAACTTCATTCCAAACACACTCCAAATTTTAACGAGTGATTCTTGAATTTAAAGAACATATAAACAAGTTCAAGAATGATAAAAAAAACTTGAAAATAAGTATATTCTTCAAATTGACTCCTACAACAACAAAACCAGTGCAATCTCTGAAGTCTATTCTTGAAATGACTTCTGTATCAATCCTCGCTTCCACATCTAGCTTGTGAGTTACGTAATTGAAGTTGCACAATAAGTATGCTCAACTTGAACCCTTTGAGTTCCAAGGTCTGTCTCCAAACCTCCAAACTATCGTTAACTTTGTTGATAGTTTTGCCAATCAGTATCATATCATTTGCAAATACCATCCACTATGATATCTTTCCTTGGATATGCGACATTAGTTCATTCATCACCTAAGCAAAAAGAGACAAGGTAAGAGTTGATCGCTGATGCAACTCCATCATGACTAGGAAGTGTTTTGGGTCGCCTCCCAGTGTCCTCACTCGAGTCTTGTATCAATCCTGCTTGTCCTTAATCGTCCTAATTTAAGCTACAGGTACCCCTCTAGTCTCTAAACTTGATCATATTGCACCCTAGAGACTTCTTCATATGCTTGTTTTATATCAATGGACACCATATTCAAGTCCCTATTCTTCTCCCTATACTACCCCATCAATCACACTAGATGAATGACTTATGTAGTTGAATGTCCGGATAGGAATCCAAATTGGTTCCCAGTAATAGATGCACTCTTTCTTACCCTTATCTCCCCCGTCCTCTCCCAAACTTTCATATTGTGACTCAACCACTTGATACCCTATAATTGTTACAATGTTGAATATCACTCTTGTTTTGAACATTGGGATCATTGAACTCCATCTCCATGCTATGGGCATTTTAGATGTCTTAAAAGTAATGTCAAACAGCTCAGTTAGCCTCTGTAGCTCTTCCAAAATTTTGTGAACATCCGTTCTAGCCTGATCGCCCTCCCCATTCTCATCTTAAAAATAACCTGCATAATCGCCTCAAACTTTATTACCCTTCAATACCCAAAATTTCAACTACTCTCCTGAGAAGGTCTAAATCATCCAACACAATAATTTTGTCCCCTTTCTCATTGAAGAGTTCATGGAAGTATGTCAGCCATCTTTGTCTAGCATGTGCCTCTACCACCAATACTTTGTCTTCCTTGTCTTTGATGCACTTCACTTGGTCCAGGCCTTGGACCCCCTCTCTCGCCTTGGCAAGCCTGTACAACTTTATATCCTCGCTTTTGTCTTGTAGTTTTTCATATAGGTGTTCAAACGTCGTTGTAACAACTAATTTCTCTTCATTCTTTGCCACCATATACCTCTATCTTTTGTCCTCTTTTTGTTCTCGTTTGTACTCTCTACCAAATCCTTAGACGCGACCTCTCTGGTCTTCACTTGTTGGACTGCTCCATTCTACCACTAATCTCCTCGATGTCCACCAACGTTCCCCCTCACGACCCTAATCCTCTCTAGCTACTTTTTTAATGCACTTAATTGTCATGTACCACATACAACTTGCATCTAGAACACTACCCCAAACACCTATCACCATCAATTTCTCCCCTATCCCCTTAGTTTTGGTTGGGGTCAAGCTTTAAATTGACTCCTAACAACAATTTAACCAACGAGGAACTTATTGCCTTTGATCTAGAGTCATTCTCATTTAATTCAAAGCAATCTCAGGTCTAAAATTCAGCTAGTTCAAAAGCTTCATCTACCCAACAGTCAACCAAGTAGGAATAATAGCCTTTGATCGGAGTTATTCTCATCTTATTTGAAGCAATCACAGGTCTACACTTCAACTAGTTCAAAAGCTTCATCTACCCAATCAATGAGGTACCTTGGATTGCTAGTTTGGCCAAAATCCATTTTGAAAATAATAGGAGAGTTGTCTACAATGTATCTTGGTCTGCCTCTAGGAGACAAGATCACATCAAAGGGTATCTGGAAAATGTATCGGAGAAATGAGAAGTCTTTTTCTATGGCTGTGGTGTTCGAAGCTAGCTTTTTCGCACTTCAACTAATTCCACGGGGTGCATGCTACTGCCCAACAACACATGCCAGGTAACTTTGTCCACCAAAGTTTGGACAAATGGGAAAAATCACCTAGTGTTTTGTTGTCTCTGTTGAGTTTTGAACTTAAGACCTCATGGTTCTCAACGAAATGTGAGAAGAATCTAGTCAAGTGAAAAAGGCTGTATGTATCCCTGGGTTGTAGAGTTACACTCATAAACCATGTCTTAGATGCATTGCCTACCTACATGATGTCTTGTTACCTATGCCAACAATTGTGAGGGACATACTTATTAAGGAGGCAAAGTTAATTCTTACCAAGTATATACCGTCCAACATTGCCAAAATATTGCATGTTTTTGTTCTAGATCCATCTTCAGTTACTTAGAAATTAGAGAAGCCACTAAGGGACCTTCTTTGTGAAGAAGAGGAGGTAGTTGGATGGTATAAGGTGTGGCTCCTAATGACTCGGGCAGATGAGAAACTGGTGGTTGTCAATTTTCATACAAGTCCTCTTACAATAGCTGAGAAGATTTGTGAAAGAATTTAGTATAGAGGAGGCCGACTCCATGCTAGAATTTTGGAAGCCTTGTGAAATGTACCTAGGCTTCTTACTTTCTGTTCTACCGTGGCCAACACTACCTTTATGTTGATACATAATATGCAATCATTATTAAAAAAAAGTCACTTGGAGTTTCTCCATTTCCCTTTTTGTTCTTTTATCTTCATATCTAATTGAGTTGAACTCCATGTTATTGCGTATGTTAGAGGTCATTAATGATGCACCTCGATACCTGGAAATAACTCTTGTTGTCATGCTGAAACGTACATACCAGAGTATCCTTTTGTTTAATATAATTGGCCTCCAATAATGAAGAACTATTGTATTTAGCATTTCCGACATTTTTGTCCCCTGTAGACACATAAAGTTCGCTGTCGGGTTCAACATATCCTTCACTACAACATTTTCCGTGGTCATTTTAACCTCTCATGTTCCAGATTTTGACACCCCATAAGGGCTATTTGCAGAGTTGGAGATCCAATTTCCATTCAAACCGTACTTGTTAACTATCACCTCCCTCCACAATGCTTCTTTCTCAGTGTTGAACCTCCATAGCCATTTTGACAAGAGACAACTCCACCAGATTGTTTATGTAACTGTGCAGACTGCCACTTGACTAAATGCAAACCCTTCCCTTCTTTATTCCCTTTCCACAAGAAATCTCTTCTCAGTTTGTCAAGTCTTTCTTCCTCTTTTAGCTGGCATAGGGGATAAAGACATAACATAAGTTGGAAGAGAGTCCAACACAGAGTTTATTAAAGTGACTCTCCCTCCCAAAGAGATATATGAGCTTTCCAATTGGCCAATTCCTTCTCTGTCTTTTCAATTATGCCGTCCCAAATTCCTAGCTCCTTATGATTCTGCCCCAATGGCATGCCCAAGTAAGTAGTGGGATGATGTTCTACTTTACACCCTAATGTTCTTACTATGCTCTGAAGTTGAGGGACTTCTTTAATTGGAAAGATGCTGCTTTTCCTCCAATATACTAATAAACTCGAGACTGCTTCAAAAACCACCAAAGTCATTCTTATAAAGGCAACCTGTTTGGCCTTGGCTTCATAGAAAATAATTGGTCATCTGCATTTCCCTTCCTGAAGAGTTGCGAACCTTGATGCCTTTTAACCAATTGTTTTGGGTAGCTACTCTCATCATACTATTATAGCCCTCCATGGCTAGGATGAAAAGGAAAGGAGAGAGTGAGTCTCCCTGCCTTAGACCCCTTTCTGATGGGAAAAAACCAACAGGTTCTCCATTAACTAAAATGGAGAACCTAACAGTTTTTATGTAATAATTAATCCACTTCAGCCATTTATCCCCAAAACCCATTTGTTTTAGAATCATTATTAGGAAACTCCAATTGACATGATCATAAGCCTTCTCTATGTCCAGCTTGCACATCATTCCTGGATCATCTCCTTTGACTCTGGTGTCCACATACTCACTTGCTATAAGTGCTGCATCAATGATCTGCCTACCTTTTATGAAGGCCATCTGGTGTTTATTCACAGGCTTACTGATCACTTTCTTTAACCTTTATGCTAGTATCTTGGCAATGATCTTGTATATTCCACCTATCAAGCTTATAGGTCTGAAATCTCTCAGTTCCACAACTCCCACCTTCTTTGGGATCAATGCCACATAGGTTGCATTTAGGCTCTTCTCAAACATTTGGTGATCATGGAATTGCCTCAAGGTGCTCAGTATGTCTTCCTTAAGCATTTCCCCGAAGATTTGATAAAAACTCATCGGGAAGCCATCCCGGCCTAGGGCCTTGTCACTGGAACACAACTTGAGTGTCTCAAGGACTTCATTTTCCTCAAATTGTCTTTGTAGCCACTCTTTTTCCTCCACGTTATGGTTTCACTCCCTTGGAGATTAAAACGTGGCCTCCATTGTTCTGGTTCCTTGTAAAGTTTCTGGTAAAAGCTTACAACTTCGTTGTTTATCTCCTCTGGTTCGGAAATAATCACACCTTCCACTTCTAGCTTCTTGATTGTATTGAATCTTTTGTGTGATGTAGCCATTTTCTGAAGTATTTGGTATTTTTATCCCCTTGCTTGAGCCATTGTACCCTGGACCTTTGTCTCCATGCTATTTCCTCATTCCTGGAAATTTCTGCAAACTCATTGAATTAGCTTTGTGCAACCTCTCCCCCACATTTAGTGTTCTCTGCTCCTGATAGTTTCAAGACTAGCAATTTGGTTCAACACATCCTCCTTTCTATGTTTTCAGTTGCCTCTATTTTCCAGCTCCCATTCCTTCAATCTCCCTTTGAGTAGCTTTAGTTTTGTTGCCAACCTAAAAGAAGCTGTTCCATTTACAATGAAGGATGCCCACCATTCTTTTACTTTTTCTCTGAACCGTCCACCCTCATCCACCATTGCTCAAACTTAAAATAAGTCTTCTTGAGATTTAGCTTTCCACAGTTTAGAGCTATTGGACTATGATCCGAGCCTCCTCTTGGGAGCACACTTTGTCTAATTTGCGGGAAAAATTCTTCCCAATGATTAGAGTAGAGGAATCTGTCAATTCTGGAGGCTGTTGTGTGGTTCTCACCCCTTCTCCAAGTATAAGATCCTCCAAATAAAGGAGGGTCAAATAACTCCCATCTCGTTGATCCAGTCAGTGAACTTTGTCATTTCTCTAGACAGATAAAGGCTGTCAGTTCTTTTGTTAGGATATCTTGTAACATTGAAGTCGCCACACACCACCCATGGTCCTTTGGAGGTGTTTCTAATTGTTGTCAGCTTCCCCCACAGTTCCTTCCTTATTATTGGGTTGCAGTCAACATAAACTGCACTTAAAAACCAAGTGATATTTTGTACTTTGCCTTTTAGTTTGCAAGTAAGCATCTGACCAAGAGTCCCTATTAGCCCCCCGTCCAATACCTTTTGTCCCACATTTCTACAATCCCTCCACTTCTACCCACTGCATCTAAATGGAACTCACCCATCCACCTATTAGCCCACACCTCTTTGAATAAAGCATTGTCAACTCCCCTCAACTTTGTCTCTACAAAGACATAGACGTCAGCCCCCCATTGTTTAGTTAAACTCCTAATGAGACTCCTTCTGCCCCCACCCCAAATTCAGTCCCTTACATTCCATGAAACAATATTTATCTTCATTTAAGTCTTAAGAGGTGTTGTTTTCCCTCTACCTCTAGGTTCCCCGTCTTTAAAGTTCATATGAAATTCTAAATTTCTTAGCTCCTTTGGGATGCTATTCTGGTTGCATTCCTTCTTGGTAGCCTCTTCTTTCTTTATCTTGGTAGCCTCTCTTTTGGTCTATCTTCATGAGTAGATCAAAGGCTATTTTATTACATCCCTCTAAAGTTGCTCCAAACCTCCTGCTGAATTCAAGAACATTAGACTGCACCCATATTGTGGCTCTATCTTTACACTTTGTTTGGATCATTGTTACCCATTGTTTCATAATGTATTGTATTGTACTATATTATACTGAATTGTATGGTAGATACAATGTTTGGTTAGACTGTATTGTTTGTTGTTGTTTAGTAACATTTTAATTGTTGGTTTGATCGTATCATACTGTATTGTAATTTATAAATTTACTAAAATATCCTAATTATTCTAGGGTAGGAGGTTTGACTAGATTCAAATAATTAAGATAAAGGGTAAAATAGTATTTTGAAATATTATGTAAATATATAATTGAAAAAATAAATTAAGTAACAATTGGAACACACCAAATTGGTTGTTCCATAAATAGGGGTTTTCATTGTTACGTAACAACGAAATTTAACAATACAATACATTTTAAGTAAACAATCAAAACAAACATTAACAATGATCCAAACATAGTGTTAATCTCCTTTTCTGAGAGTGGTTCTTCTAAATTAGACTGCCCTCTGTGTTTGACATGCATCATCTTTCTCCAGGACTACAAACTCTGTATCTACACAAGAACTTTTTCTTACACCAGACAAGTTGTGAAATGCATGAGGGCATGTCTGTTCTTTATGTTTTGGGTTCTTATTTTGATCAAATAAAAGTATTTTCATTCATAAGCATGGCCAAATTGGTTGTATACAAGTGATATACCAAAAAGTAAAGAATATACAAATTATGGTCTCTACAAATTCAATCTTATCCTCTATATAACAAGGAATTTTCTTATTACAAAGAAAATACTCTTCAACCGAGAGAAACTCGACTCTACACCTGCAAAAGCTCTCTTATTTCTCTCTCGCTACCCACACTAATGCAAGTGAAATCACGTTCCAAGCCGTTCATTTCCTTCTCCCACTCTTCTTAGCTGATCATCAAATATTTCACTATTTTTGGCATTGCCCAAAGAGTGCCCAACCACCTAAGCATATCTCACCATAGTCTCATGGTTAGCCCGCAATGAAGTAAAAGATGATTCACATCCTCACCAACCTCCTTACCCATGTAACACCAACTGACACAAACAACTTTTTGCTTTCTAAGATTTTCCGCTATCAAGATCCACCCACCTAGTGGCTAAGCCAAGTGGAGAAACACACCTTTTCTATGGAACCCTTGGAACTCATATTGCTTTACATGGGAATTTTTTATCCTCCCAAACTAATGGTTTCTTATAAAAAGACTTCATGGAGAACACTCCATTATTTTCCAAGCCCCCCCCCCCCCCCCCACACACACACACACACACTCTCACACACACAAAAAAATCTCCTCCATCTCTGACCTTGAACAACATATTTTCCTCAAAATATGCCCGTCCCTTCATGATATTCCTCCGCAAAGCATACCCACAAGACAAAATGTTATATCTAGTTTTTCAACCCCCTTTCATGATCCCGTACCTATCAACTATTCCCCCATAAAGCTTGCATCTCCACCCCACAAAAAAAAAAAAAACTCTCCTCCATCTCTGACCTTCAATGACATATTTTCCTCGAAATATGCCCATCCCTTCATGATATTCCTCAGCAATGCACACCCAAAAGACAAAATGTTATATCTAGTTTTTCAACCCCCTTTTATGATCCAGTAGCTATCAACTATCCCCCTATAAAGCTTGTATCCCCACCCCACCTCCATAATCATTTTCCCAATCAAGCTTTATTAAAGACTTACGAATGTTAATTTTAAGGCCTCCATATTTTTAAGGAGATGTGACAACCTCCCACTGCTCCAAGTGAAATTTTCTTGCCCCATCCGCCGCATCCCAAAGAAAATCCCTCTGAATCTTTTCCAACTTACAGTGACTACATTTGGAGCTTGAAACGAAGAAATTCAGTGGCCTCATTTGGTTCTTATTTGCTCTTGCCAATAGAAACGAGAAAATATTTTTCAAGGACCATCTGACATGACATTTAGCAAGTTCACGTTGTGTCTTGCACTTCCCCTATCTTCCTATGCATGCCTCTTATATTGCTGCTTTATTCGAGTATATTTTTTTGGGGTTATGTGTGGATCCTCTCATGCTAGAATCAGCTAGGACTCAATACTTTTTTCTTAACTTGAATAAGTACTGAATACAGAAATGCTTCAGAGGTAGAAAGGAGGTAGAAACTGAACGTTCTAAAGTTCGCGAGAATTTCTTGAGAACTCATGGGGAACGCTGCCACGCTGTTGACAGGTTTGCTTATATGGCTTCTATGTTCTTTTTAATATGTTGCTTTAGATGCAATGCCCTCCACCCTGTTGGGTCATGTAATTGGGTGCTCTGATGGTGTTTCCTATTCTTTGCTCTTATCCCATGAAGTTGTATGAGATTCTTTCTAGAGTTTGTGATGATTAGCTTGTATTTTCTCTTTTTCCCCATGTGTATTCAGGCAGTGCTTCAGTCCAGATTCAGACTTTTTGCGTCACCTACTTTTCTTTTTCAATCCGACATACACTGCTGATGTTTCTGTCCTTGTGGAGACATGCCGATCGCTTCTAGAGTTTGTTCAAGATAACGGTTTGTTTCATCTCCTTGTCTACTTTTATGTGGAAAATTTATGTAGCGCATATGGAGTGCCTTCATCTGTTTGGAGTTGGTGGACCTGTGTATTTCTGTTTGATTTTGGATTCGTCTACCAATAGAGATGATTAACGGTAACTTTATGCTAAGCAGAAAATATTATCTACGTTATATGGGTTAAGCTATCTAAGGAACTCATGAATTGATGACTATCTCAAAACCTTAGAAGTACAGCATGCGGCATCACGTCAAACAAATGCTTGCTTGAAAATGTTTTTAGGCTTTGATGGAGTTTTGAATCATGTCTCCTTGTGTTGTTGCCATGGTTTTAGTAGTCTGTGAAACTTGAGTTACTTTCCAATGGAAGTCCACTGAAATGACACTGTATTGTATTATTTGGTATCTCTGTGTATTCTTGATATCATTTGGGTGTTTCCTTCCTAAATAATTGATGTATTATTGTATGACAAAAATCAAGTGAATGTTTAATGGTTTAAGTTTAATTTTTCTTTACCCAGCTTTTGTAGAGTGTGGTGCCCTGTCTAAACTCATTATTTATGCTGATTATCACTTATCAGATACTTATACAATCTAAAATCCACAACTGACCTTGTTTCTTTAAGTGCATGTTTTGTGCATAGCATCTCCAAGTTCAAGTTTAACTGCGTCACAAAAACTAGGTTCTTTGTTCTCTAATTCAATTTTTTTGCTCATCATTAGATGTTGTTACCTTGTTTCTCTGTTAATAGCCTCATGGGTTGCATGCTAGAAGCTTTTCATTAGCATTAACAGTGTGCAGGAATTTTACAGGGGATGTTATTAGCCTCTTTGCTGGTACAGAATATGCTTCCAAAGCTGCCTTGGTGAGATATAGAGTGAAGAAATTTGCTCATGCTTGCATTCGGGCTGTTTATGGAAACAGGTTTAACTCAATACGTTACGTCATTTCTTCTTGATTCACTTTCCTATATGAAGCACCTGAACTTTATTTGGTTAGTGTTACTTTTTCTCTGTTGAACACATAGAAAGAGATTTATATGACCTTATTATCTTAAAAGTTTAAAACCAAGCTATTTGTGCAAAGAAAAAATAATGTTCAAGAAAAAGGGGATAAATTTTTTTTTTTGGAAGGAGATGAACTGTAGAGCTTTTGAAGAAAAATAACATTTTGTGTAGAAAATCAAGATGAGCTGTATATTTTTTGTTTAATATTTGGTGTAAAGAAAGCTATGCAATCACTAGTTGATATGATAGGATCCTTGTGAAGCAGTAGCCTAAGCTTGGTTGGGATTTTGTAAAGTCTTTTTGCACTATTATGGTGCAACTTTATATATATATATATATAATCGTTAATAGTTTCAAAAAGGAGATAAGTCTATTCTTTCATGTTTTTAGTCTTTTAATAAATTCTTTCCTTTTGCTTTTTTTGGATCGTATTGGACCTGAACTCCAGATCTTTATATTGCTATCATTCAGTCTTCAGTGTTTGCTTTTGTGCTATGGGTGTTCTATTGAAAGACCACTTGGAGCTTCACTTCATTACAAAACAACAACATAATACCAGTGAAATCTCACAAAGTCAATATCCAAAAAAAAAAAAAAAGAAGTCGTAATGTGGGATCTGGAGAAGGGGAGAGTGTACACAGACCTTACCTCACAATATAGCAACTTGGTACCCGTATAGTAGTTGCAATGATGAATATCCCCCTTATTCTTGTACAACAGAACCATTGCACTCAACCTCCATTTCTTTGACATTTTAGCCATCCTAAATATGACACTAATCAACCCAGCCAGCCACTCCAATTCAAACGAGGATCAAAACTCATTGACCGTTTCTCCTTGCTTAATGTGCGCTTCATAGTCGTCATCAATTTTCTAAGGCATACTTTCTCTTGCCATGCTTTATTTTTCGATTTGCACTCATAGCCCCGACAGGCCTTTAGAGCTTTTTTGCGCTTTTTGCTTTTGATAACACTATATTGACCTCACCTGTGTTCTTCCAAAAATCCACCGGTCTCTTGTCCCCTCCTCATCTTACAAATAGCCCCCTTAACCTCCGCAACCTTTATGCACCTATGATTCCCAAAATCTCGATGACCCTCAAAATGCTCTAACTCCCCCAACACGATGTCCCAATCCTCTTTTTCATTTAAGAACTATGGTCCCATTTGTACATGTATTATCTTGCAACTCTCTTTTTCCCCAACATAGGCAATAGCTATTATAGGATGAAAGCTCTGATACACCACTGCTATGATACACCACTTGTTTTATATAACTACAAACTATGCTATTTCATGATGTCTTTCATCGTTCCATGATATCGACACTTCAATGACAAGCTTTATAACTGGTTGTTTAGAATTCTTTATAGGGAGAGCGGGTTGGGAGGAGGGGGGGGGGGGGCAGAAGTGTTACTCTTCTAAAGCTTGAAATTTAATTAGCTTTGATGAAATTGCATGTGGTAGGCATTTAATTTGATGGTGCTGCTATACTAGTTATTGATCTATGTTTACTCATCTATAGTGTCAATTTCTGAAATAAGCTATTTTAGTTGACATCTGTACGACACCAGTCTTTTAGGTCTTAAATCCAATTGGAATGCTAAACAAGTGCTTTCATGTCTTTATGTTACTTATATGAGCTATGCTCGTGCAGGAATAAGTTAAGAGATCAACTTTTTATGGAATCTGAGAAGTCCTGTACATCAGCAATCCTTTTGTTGGATGCAGTAACATTGTTGATTGATTTAGGGCTTCCTTGGGCTTGCAGCACTGTTACCTATCTTCTTCAAAGAAATATATATTCCTTATTTCGGGAAATTGTTCTGATTGGCAAGGTATAATATACATCAACATGAATTCAGCTGATACTTCCTTTCCTCTTTATGTATATTTTCTGACTGCTACACAAGTACAAGAGCTATATAGTTAAAATTATTTTACTACTTGCCACAACACATGGAATCCTTAATGATGAGTTTTTAAGTATATTTTTCAGGGAGTCCAAGTAGTTCGTAGTTATGGATTAATTTCACATTTTTCTAGCTAGCTTTATTGCTTAAAGTGCTCTACTATTGGGAGCTGGAAAGTAGGTAGTAAAAGGTGATGGAATGTGTGACAGGCTTGTAATAATTTTATGGAGATTTCTAATAATCTGGACCAATGTTGAATTGCAGGGATTTCATACAAGTCTATTCAATCCTATGTTTCCGATACACTTCTTAAGAATAGTAAATTATTAATATGATAATATATTTATGTGTGTGTGTGTGTGTATACCAAAGGTTTAGAGTCCTTATAGTTGGGCTGTAAGAAAGAGGAATTACTTTCCTTCTCTTTTTAGTATTTTATTTTGATTGTTAAAAGTATTGATTAATCTCACCAAGAGATGTCGTAAATATTTAGAACAGGGGATACATTACTGAATATGTAATGATGTATATCATATATAGGGCTTTGCTAATCTACTACATTCAAGGTAGTAGATTAGCATGGTGCCAATTTTTTAATTCCCTAAAAGTTCCTAGCAACATATTATCAATGCCCAAACTGATAGTGATATCTTTGTCTTGCAACCAAAAACTAAAGCCAATTCATGTTTTCCCCCTTTCTCTTACATTTTATTCTCTTCCTCTGTGAAGCTTGAGACAGCTGTTTTGTGTTATTCTTTTGCTTTCTACCATTCTCTTTCTCTTCTTAATTTTGATAGTCTCCCCATAAATTAAACCACGATCTCCTTTAAATTATTTGTGAGTTGTTTGCATTCTTAAGATTTATTGTCAATATTGATGAGTATAAAAGACATGTAACAAACCCAACATTTAATTTTTGTAATTAAAATTCAGGCGGAGGGGAATGGGTCTTCTTCTACCATTATTATCAAAATGAAATGGTTTCATAAAGAAAACAGAGAAGATAGGTGGGTTAAGAACACATGTTAATTAGTGTGTGTAAAATGTCACTTTTCCCCAAAAATGGGACTAGAAATTGACAAAGATTGGGAAATACCAAGAATGGCAAATTTCATCAACAAGATTGAGCAATTCAGTGGGTGGGTGGAAGGGAGATGAGAAAGGCTGTACAAAGTGAGCAAAATACAGGAAAATGAAGCACAACCAGCAGCCAAGCAGTTGGCCATGGAAGACCATTTGGAAAACCAAAATACCATATAAAGTGGCATGCTTTGTGTGGCTTCTGGGAAAGGAGGCAGTGCTTACACAAGAGAAACTAATGAAAAGAGGGATAATTTTAAACCCCAGGTGCTTCTTGTGTGGGGAGCAGACAGAGACTGTGAATCAGCTATTCACACATTGTAAAATCACAGGACAACTATGGAGATTGTTTTTGAACCTCAGAGTAAAAGCATGGAGCATGCCTGGGAAAGTTACAGAGGCCTTAACAAGCTGGGAACAAGCTGGGTTGTTGGGCAAGAATAGAGGCAGGTGGAGGATGGTCCCCGCAAGCATTTGGTGGACAATATGGAAGGAGAGGAATTCTAGGTGTTTTGAGGGCATAAAGAACAAATATGCAACAGATTAAGCTCAATTGCATCTTGCTACTGTGTTTTTGGTGTAGTCAGTTACTTTAAAATGATCCTATCTCTATTATTGATGTTATAGACTCATTATAGACATAGGATCATAGGATCATAGATGTAGGCAGTACTTTGTAAACATGGGATTACAACAACTCTTGTAAGATTCAGATTCTAACATATATAGACAAAGTTACCAGTTTATAAAAAAAAATGGCTAAAAGAATGGAGTTTGCTGAACCGAGATGATCCCTGATAGAATGAGAGGTGAAGTCGACGAAGAGGGCTGGCAAGATCTAGGTCATGCTGGTGTATCAAAAGATGAAACTGTCGTTACTGCTAAAGAAATATTTAGAATAGTAATAGGGATTCCTTGGGTAAACAAAAAGTTGGTGCAATGCTAACATACTACCTTCATATAGTAGGTTAGCGAAACCCAGACATATATATTATTAAGGATTTACTTGTAAACACTATTTATACCTTCATATAGTAGGTTAGCAAAACCCAGACATATATATGATTAAGGATTACTTGTAAACACTATTTAAACCCCAACATAGTTGAGGGAATAATTAATTAATTAATTCTCAATATTTCTCTTTGTTTTCTGATATTTTACATGGTATCGGAGCCTCAACTCCTCTCTCCAGCAATCAGTGTTCCTCTCCCATTCTAGCGTCGTTTATCTCTTGGACGACCATTATGGTGCCACTCACTTTGGTGACCCGCACTGCTACTTTCTATGGGACTAACACCCTCCTCTGATCTTGAATTTCTATTAGAGCCAAGAGTTTGAGTCCCTATCTGAAAATGCTTTTACTCGAGGCAACTTTGAGTTCCTACTCTGAAATCAAAGCCAAGGGTTTTGCTTTACTCTTAGATATCTTTCTACATGTTGTTGAGAACTCTTTCTCTCTCTCTTCTAGTACTAATTTCTCTAATTCTTTTTCTGATTAAAAAAGTTCTCTCATCCAAAAGTTCCTCCAATTTCTCTAGTTCAATTAAAATATAATAACTATTTCCTTCCAAAACAATCTTCTTTTTCTTCTTAATCTCACAAAAGCAAAGAAAAATTTCTTCTTATTATTCCTAAATTAAAATGGTAGCTTAGACTAATGAAACCGGAAATCCTACCTTCACGGGATGCAAGAGGGATCAAATACCTCATTCTTTTACCTTGATTTGTGGCGTTTATGAGGACTATCTTCATCTTCGGTAGGTGAAAAGCAACAGTTATCATCTCATCTACAGCTGCAAGCTCAACCTGGTACACAAAGTGTGGCTCATTGCCTGCTCTGACAACATCTACTGCTTCCATCAAAAACTCCTCAGATGAGGTTGAGTATATTTGGGACAAGTTAGGAGAATATAATATGTGCGCTCCAACCTAAGGGCAAATTTTAAGAATTAGCAAATTATAAATGTGGCAAGATCTCATTCCATATATATATGTAGGAAAAGTTAGGGTTCTTATAATTTTGTAATTCAAAATAAAAACTACTTTCATTTCCTCATTAAGGTTACTTTTCTTTTTAGAGTTACTTGTGAACACTATTTAAGCCCTAACGTGCTTGACGAAATAATCAAACAATTTATTCTCCAACATCTCTCTTCTTTTCTCATTCTGCACAACTTTTAAGCATTCTCTGCAAAAGATATAGGCTACTTTTGGCACCTTCTTGGTTCGTTATTAGTTTTACTTGCTAAAAAAAAAAACTGCCCAGTGGTAAACAGAAAAGACTTGAATATCTATCGAGATTGTAAACTTTGATATGATGTGATAAATGAGTGAAGAGAAGATATTGGGGGAATGCTCTGGACAATTATCTTGTGCTTAGGACCTTCAACAACTGCTTTGGATAATATACATGAATTTAATATTTCTTCGGATGGGAAATAATATCAAACAAGACAAGTAGACAACCTTATTTTTATGCGTGCATTATTTATTTGTTTTTCAGTTTGGAGTACTAGCATCTCAAGAATCCAAATTTCTTCTTGCCTAGGTGTTTGTTAAAGTTTGAAGAGTGACATGATGCAGCTTAATTTTTGCAGGATAGAAGCTTTCCAGCTTCCAACAGGGTTGTATCTTCATTTGAGCGTGTGCTTGGACTAATTACATCTCATATTGGTCAAGGCACTTGTACTTGCCCAACCGTTGATCCACAATGTTTCTTTCCCTCCCAGATTCTTACAATTCCATTTTTATGGCGGTTTTTCCCTCACCTGAAAGAGGTAATTGGTTACAATGTTCCACCAGAACATGGCTGTTTCAATGGAGGATCAGATTAAGGGATAATACTTTGCCAACCGAGTATCAAGTTGCTCTATGCTAGCTCATGTAAAATGATCTTTAGGATTATCTGCATGAATTATCAGCTCATGTCTCATATTCGTGCCATAGAATTGATCATCTTCATGTATAAGTTCAGATTGATGCTTCTGTGAAATTTATGTTCATCTGGTTTCATTTCATTATGCAGATCTTGGCAAGTCCATCAGTGAGTCGTCATTATTTTCATCAGATGAAATTATGCATGAAAGACCATATTAATGTCCTCCCTCCTGATTTAGCGATTGATCTTCCTGGTTATGCTTGCCTTCTTGGGAATCTATTGGAAGTTGCCGGGCTTGCTTTTGCTCAGCCAGAATCATTCACTATGGTAAAGACTAGAGACATACAATTAGCTTTACTCAAATAAAAGATTTTTTTTGTGGTACAAGTTTAATAATTACTGTCATTTATGTATGGGACTATGTTATAAGGACTCGTATGAAGGAGTCGTCACTAGCAAGCTAATAATAGTAGTAGATACAGAGAAGTTTCCCACAACCGTGATTTACGAGAGGTATTTACTTGAGCAGGTCCTTGTTTAACCTAATTATGAATGAGCTTACCAACACAACACAAAAAGAGGTTTCTTGGTGTATGCTATTTGCTAACAATATTGTATTTATTAATGAAATAAACAAGGGTATCTACTATAAGCTTGAACAATGGAGAAACAATCTAGAGACTTAGTAGTTTCAGGATAAGAAGAAGGTTTTCTAAATATATGACTCTGAATCTACAACAGCAGTAGTAGTTGAGATTAAGATTAGATGAGATTATGGTGTCTTAATTTAAACAAACTAGATATATAGGCTCATTGTTCCAAGATAATGAATGATAGATGATGATGTTAAATATAGAATCAAGATCCGATACTTTAAATAGAAGGTACTACTGGAGTGTTATATGACAAGAGAATGGCTACCAAAACAAAAGGTAAGTTTTTAAATCAAAGCACTATTAAGCTCTGAAGCTAGGTGAAGCAAAAGTTGTGTCCTTCACCTCGCTTCATCGGTGCTTTAGTGTGGGTGTCAAAGTGCTAAGCCGTGTGCCCCTTCACTGATGGATTCTACCTACGAGCACAGCAACATTTTTTTTGTGTGTGTATAAAAAAATTCTTTCTTCTGTCCAAATATTATTGTTTATGTTTATAGTTACACTTTTTGAATTAAATTTCTATGTTTTTTGTTTTCTCTTCATTGACTCTTCTCTTCGTTTGATGCACACACTTTAAATGTGCTTAAAATTCCAACCAAGTTCAGTGCTATTTTGCGCTTTTCGTTTTTGACTACTCTGGTCATACAAAATTAGACACGATTAAAAAATGAAAACATTTGCCAAAAGGTGCAAGTAACACACATTAAAGATACAATGAGAAGGTCTCTTGAGAGGGTTCAGTCATGTCCTGCGTCAACCTTCAGATGCACCTACCTGTACTCTGTATTGAGTGAACATGTTGAAAAGGATTGAGTTAAACATAAATTTACATGGATGGAAGGTATGTGAAAAGACTTATAAGCTTTTGGATTCATTGCAGACTCGACAAAAGAGTGGACACAATTGAAGAAAAACATTTATATACGATCATACCCATTAGTGAATATATTTCAACCATGTTTGTAGTTTACTTTATGCCCTGACTTTCAAGGTGTCTTTTGACCTTATCAATGATTCTTATGCCAATAGAAAATATAGAACTTCTAGTACTTTTCATTCTTAATTTTAGTTTTGTATTATGTCGGTCTGACTGAATTTAAATGGGAACATGGTCAGCAAGGATTAATATAGAGAACTCCTACATTTTTTATTTATTTTAGATTCTCTGCTTCAAACATAGAAAGTAATGTCAAAGGTTGGGGTAGAGTAGCCTATTTGTAAAAAGTTGAGTTAGTGAAGTAGTAGTTCTAAGAAACATGGTAGTTTGTCTGGAAAGGGAACATGGTAATGTTTTAATTGTTAATTTTTGAGATGTTGGGGTTTGGGGATAAATTTCATGTCAAGGCTAAGTAAGGTGGACTGGTGAATGCGAAACTTCAGGTCAAGTAAATATTGTACACACTCAATCAAAGTGGTTCAATCTTCACCGAATGGATTTAAAGGGAAGATGGACAAATAAATTGTAGCAGAGGGAATATAGTGAAATTGCGGAGAGTTTTGATACGGGTCAACATGCTATTGCAGACCGAGCATTTATCAAATCATTTTTGTTGTTCAAGGATGACTGAATGTTGTGTTCGTAAGAATCTTTATTTCCACACTTAACTTTTGCAAAACTTAAGATTGCCTCAGAAGCTCACCATTCACTCCCATAAAGTGTTCCTAGTTTGAAAGTAAGTTCTACAAAATGGTTGGCTGACTAACAATGACATATAGGATGGATGTGTAGTTATATAAACTTTGAAATGATCAAAAACATTAAAAGTTGTTAAAACATATTGAGTTGCAATATAAACGATAAAACAAGAGGGCCATGGAATGACTTAGAGATATCCTACAAAGATCTCTTAACACACCTTTTTCTGCATGCAAAATCGTGTTATTGAAGGAGCTAATAAGGGTAACTTAGACCTAAAATTAAATAGAAAGAATTTACTTCAAAAGACTTGCTATCTCAGATTCTCAAGGATTCAATGCAGATATAAGTAAAAATAGAATATAATTTGAGCAAAAGATCCAAGTAAGCGATGTCAACTGGTTGGAATTAAGACTTAGTTATTGTTGTTACTCTTTCTTTGAGTCCAAATAGGAACAAATGTGAGATTTATTGAACTTCAGTTTAGAGAAGTGCTAATTTTCCTTAAAATGCAAAAAACTTACAAATTTCGACTGAAATAGGCTTGAATTGAGCAAGATATATAAAGGGATGACATTGCCACTCGAACTAGTTTGAGACTGAGGCAGAGTATTAATTGTATTCTTGGAAAGAGAAAAAAAAATAGTGTTCATAGTTTATTTGTTGATAGTCGTGGTGTCCGGATCAACTTGCACGCACCTCAGCTAATTACACGGGCACCAACAACTGGTGTTAGATAATTCTGTCCAGCAAGACTAGAAAAGATGGATAGAGATCACCTAATGTTTTGTCTCTGCTGGCCTTTGAACCGAGACCTCATGATGGTCAACCCACTTCATTGACCACTAGGCCACACCCTTGTTTGTAGTTGTTAGTTTTTCCACATTCATAAAGTGAATGAGTTGTCTTTTTATATGGTCTTGGACAATTCTCACCTCATAAGTGAATGAGTTGTCCTTTTACACGGTCTTGGACAATTCTCACCTCATAAGCTAAGTCTTGGGTTTAAGTTAGGTCCAAGTCCTATTTTCTTGCATGGTATAAGTGCCAAATTCATCTGTTTACCCAGTGTTGGCCCCCCAATGTGATGTTGTCCAAACTTTGGATGTCCATTTCTAGGCGTGTAAGAAGTGGATGTTAAGTGCCAACATTGGTTGAGAGAATGAGGAATGTGTCTCCTTTCTTTGGCAATACTCACATCATTGGCTAACTTTTGTGGTTGAGTTAGGCCGAAGGTTTCATTTAGTTAACCTTTAGTGTTGTTATATCCTCCTTGTATTTTCATGCTGTTGTATGCAAATTGATGGCATAGTTTATTCCTGGTTGAAAGGAGACAGATAACAGGGTATAAACTTGATTTTGGTTGATGTAATGCCACAAATAAGGAGGAGGGAATTTGGATTTTGCTCATTAGTTGTTCTATGAGGAATCTGATATTTTAAAAGAGAATGTTTCTTGCTAAACTGTTATTTATAGATCCACGTTTTCTTCACTTATTTTCTTCCTCGATCACGGTAACATCCTCCTATTCTTGTTCGCAGGCCGTTGATTTTGCTACTGTTGCAACTTTTTTGTTGGAAGCACTCCCTTCTCTCCAATCATCAAAGATGGGAAGTATAGAAAGTACGTCCTTGTATTGGATTTGTGTTATACCCACATGCAGTTACTTCAGTTGATGTTCTAATTCTCACACATGTTTGAGATTTCAGAAGGAAAAAAAATGTAAACAACATTTCCTTAATTATACTGCGAGCTGATTACACTTGCTTCAAATTCTTCAGTTTCTGAGGATGAAATGGTCATTGATGATGAACAAACAGAAAAAGCTCTGAATCTGGGTTTGGAGCAACAGATAACCAATGCTATAAATCCACGTTTTCTTCTACAGCTGGTATGTAGTCATAATTTTCACAGTACTGACTATGCTATGTAGTCATAATTTTCACAGTACTGATTATTCTATGTAGTCATAATTTTCACAGTACTGACTATGGTTCACTGTAAGTTTAATCAAGGTATTATCCCTCTGAATGATGAATAATGTTTTATATTTAATGAACAGAGTACTGTGTTACTAGGTGGATTTTCACCTCTCAATGGTTTACATAGTGGCCAGCTTGAAGAAAATCACATAGCAGCTGTTACTGCAGTTTGTGCTTTCCTTCATACGACTTTCAACATTTTGCCGCTTGAACGTATTATGACTGTACTAGCCTATCGGACAGAACTAGTTCCTGTCCTTTGGAACTTCATGAAACATTGCCATGAAAATCAGAAATGGTCATCCTTGTCAGAACAATCACCATATTTTCCAGCAGATGCTCCTGGATGGCTGCTACCTTTATCTGTTTTCTGCCCTGTTTATAAGTAAGAGCCTATGGTTTTAAATATTTAGCCTGTATCATTTGGTGGAATATTCTAGGGCTGTCTTGTATCGTGTGACTGCACACGAGTAAATAACACATCTTCTTCTCTATGGTGAAACAGGCACATGCTTATGATTGTTGATAATGAGGAGTTCTATGAACAGGAGAAGCCGTTGTCTCTGAAGGATATCAGATGCTTAATTGTTATCCTTAGACAGGTATAGCCTTGTAAGGGATCAATAAACTGGTAACAACGGACTTTAAAAAATTGTGCTGATTGGAAAGAACTTTTTAAGAGTTTATTTCTTCATCCTGGCCTTGGTAAACACTGGTGATGGTTAGAGGAAGCATTACAGTGATAGGATTAGCTTCTGGCCGCAGCAGGTCGGCCAGTTTAAGAGTCACGAGTGGAGATTGATTAGCATTGTCATTGATGAATACCTAAAAGAAGCCTCATTTGATACTGTGAAAAATGGTATTAGCTTGCAATTGTAGGCTGGTAATCTACCATCTGAACCAAGGACAATAACGGATGTTCTCCACAGTCCACTCGCCTTTATGTGTGGTAATGATCTGTAAAGCCTTGTGACTTAGAGGCATGATCATATGGGTGTTGGTTCAAGACCTCCACAAGAAGTTACTGATAATTAAAGTTACTCCTTGTATCCTTGGTTATGACTTGAGAAATGTTTGTTCATAAAGTAAAGAATCTGGAAGCAGTAGATCAAAACATCTAGAGATTATCTTGACGGTACCTTTTTTCTGTTTAGTGCTATACCTGGGTGTCAATGTAATGGGTGCCTAGGACAGCGAGGCCGAACTCATTCATTTCTATGATGATTCTTTACTAGTTTTTTGCTTCTTTATAAACCTAGTGCAATCCTTCTCCTTTATTTCGATTGTTGACCGGCTATTATCTGGAGTTAGTGCGTAGAAACTATTGTATAAACAAAATCTGGACAATCCACAGAACTGAAATAAGACATAAGTGTAACTGGAAGTGCCCATAGTAGTTCTTGTGATTTTCTAAATATGCTCTCTATTTTTTGGATTAGTTGAACTATGTTCTGTGATGAACACAAGGGTATATAATGAAACAATTTCTCTGATCTAACAGGGGAGGTTCCTTAGAAACCATATAGTGATACATAGTTTCAAAAAATATATACATAGATACATGAAATTTCATTCCTTAAAGCTATCAGATGTATTGCTCTTTGAAGCAGATATTTAGCTTTTGAAGTCTTGCGTACACCAAATATCCCACTTTTCTTTAACTTGGAAGTGCCAAGTGAAAGTTGCAAAAACCCAAAAATCCCACTATGATGGCTTGTGTTATATTGTATCAGGACTTCTTTCATGTCTAATGCATTTATGCTTTGAATACTTAGGCCTTGTGGCAGCTCCTCTGGTTGAACCCTACAGTGCCTGCTAACTTTGGTAAATCAACAACTGCTATTGTTGCTATGAAGAAGCATCCGTTAGAGTTCCTTCAACACAGGGTCTGTGTTGTAGCATCTGAACTCCTATCACAGGTATATACACAGTCTGTCTCCTTCAAACACAATTCTTGTAAGATCTTGTCTTGTAGTTGAATTATTTTAGAACTGAAGTTTGAGCTATAAAGATTATATTGAATTACTGTTCTAAGATAGGGTTATTGTAGTTACAAGATTGGAACAACAGACGGCAATTTACACCTCCTAGTGAATTTCATGCTGATGGTGTAAATGAATATTTCATATCTCAGGTAATAGCTGTCAATTGCAACTTATGTTTCTGTTAGTTTGATTTTTGTTTCATAAATTTGTCTCGGTAATTGGAAATCTCTTCTAGGCAATGATGGAGAATACTAGAGCCAACGATATACTAAAGCAAGCTCCATTCCTGGTGCCATTTACTAGCCGAGCCAAAATATTTACTGTGAGTAATGAAATCTGCACAACTTCTCTTTGTTTTTTTCTTTTAAGTCTTGGCAATTGGCATCTTAAAAACTTGGGGTGGGTTCTATGGTTGACAGACGAGAGTAGAGTCGAGTTCTCTCAGTTGATGAGTAGTCCCAGTTCCCTTATTTTCTTTTGGTGTAAATTGAAAGTTCATTGTTGTGTGAATGATTGGGCGGAGTTTCTAGAGAATCATATCTTCAAAAAAAAATTCCTTACTTTTTGCCAATGTTTATGAATGAGAAAACCACATTTACATGTTAAAAGAAAGTCTTGGCATCTCATTTTTTTGCTTGCCCTTTTACTCCTTTCACTCTTTTCTTTCGGGCCTTTATATCCATTCCACAAAAATGAGTGGCTTCATTCCCGTTTTATTAATTTTGTGCTTTTGTTTAGTTTTGCTTAAGATATGAGCTTACACATTAAGCCACTACAGCCGGTCAGTTTCTTGTAATAGCATGTCATTCAGCTACCACTAACCAATAGATTTTTAATCATTTGGCAGTCACAACTCGCTGAAGCAAGACAAAGGAATGGGAGCCAGGGTCTCTTTGCTAGGCATAGATTCAGAATTAGAAGAGACCATATTCTGGAAGATGCTTTTAACCAATTGAATGCATTGTCGGAGGAGGATCTACGTGGACTGGTGATACATTTGCTCTGTGTATTATGTTTGCTTTCTATTTTATTACATACATGCATGTATATGTACAAGTATGTGTGTATGTGAGGACACTTCCCTCAGGAATAAAATGATTTCTACTCCTGTGGTTAACTTTGTGTAACCAGATACGTGTGACTTTTGTCAACGAACTTGGAGTTGAGGAAGCTGGTATAGATGGTGGTGGGATATTCAAGGATTTTATGGAGAATATCACTCGAGCAGCTTTTGATGTACAATATGGATTATTTAAGGTACTAATTTCACTAATGTTATTACTTATTATTGATTAGACCAACTTGCCCCATAACTAGTTGAGGTTCCAGTCATTTTAATATCCTGGAACCGTATATTTTGAGATATTTACTCTTGCAGCAGAGGGAACTGTTCATGAATCTAGCAGTTGATGAAGTACGTCTGGAGATGTCTGGAACTGTAGAAGGAAGTAGAGTACTTTTCACCTGATGAGAAATGGAACACAAAATGTAATAGGAAGAGTTACAATATTTAGTGCTAAAGATTCCTCAATATATGACAAAGAGCTTATGATTTGTTGCATGGAGTTGGGTAATGATGCACTTAATAGGAGTCTACGTCAGTAAATGGTATGGGTATGCCAACTCTTTGGAATTTAGGACTTGCATTAAGTACCCATACCCATATGTTATACATTCAACCCAGATATGTCAAGGAAATTGAAGGGTGTATGTAACATAGCCCCAATTGGTAGCAAACTTAGATAGAACTGACTGAGACTTCTTAGCTGATCAATTTGGTGAAGTCATTAGTAGGATGTAAGGGGGCATGTTAAAATTTCAGAAGAGAAGATGAAGAGTTGAGAAAAGGCTCAAAGCAATTTTCACAATAACCTCAAGAATTTCTAAATTGGAAATAAGGCCCAAGGTAATAAATGATGTCGAGTTCATTGGGGTTAAAAACTGGATTCTAGTGGTGAGGTTCACAATAATACTTGGATCTGCTGTCTGATAAAAAAACAAAGATACATGCTATTTACTTAGTTGTATAGGAGACTACACATTGCTTAGTTAAACATACTGGAAAGTATAAACAGTAACAGAGATATAATGATTACAATAGAGAATGTTCTAGTTACTTTCTAGCAGCTTGTAAATTGCAGAAGTCTCAGAAACTTTGTACCTAAAAGATGCAGAGCATGCTCCATATGTTATCACAATTGACTTTCTCTTCATTATAGATGCTTACTGCTTCACCTTCATCTTGGATTGTCGAAAGCCTATGGATATGGAAATTATGTAATGCTACCTGCTTTCTATAGGAGTTCTACTAAAGGAAGATGACATCTTATCGTACTAAGTAAACTACATTTATGTCAAAAAGCGCAAACTAGTATTTCTCTTCCCATTCATGACAGTAATATGAGACCTATTTGCCCCCACCCTCGAAAAAAAACCTCAAAGAGTAATATGACCAAGATAAGGTCTATCTTCCATTTCTCGCTTGTGGTTGATTTATTTTGAGAACGTGAATGTTTATTTTAAGTTTGCTGTAATTGAGTACCTTTTTGGTTGGCAATTAGGGATTATACACTCAAATACTAATTTTTCTTTTATTTCTTAAAAAGAATTAGTGATTGAGCATATACTCCTATCTCTTATTAGGTTTTTTCTTCTGTCCATGTTATATGAAAGACCGCTTTCCTTACTTTTTCTGCTGTACAAGTGCAGAATCTCTCTTTCTGTTCCCCCTTCGAACTTCCTTATGTTGTTCGTCTTTTTCTTTTGTCTATTCTCCTCTCTAAATAAATGAAATTGAAAAACCATTAAAATATTTCCAACAAAAAATAAAGACGGGGAGGAGCATAATGTGGTTATAGACGTGCGAGGTGCAAAACATGTTGAGCACTTCGTCTGGCTTATTGGCTGCTTCAATGTTGCCACCAAGGCTCGAAAGGATTTCCTTGACGACAGGTGTGCTCTTGAAGAGGCGACACTAAAGAATTGATATTTCACTTTATCGTAATTATTTTTTAAAATTTTGTATCCATACATTTTCTGCTCATGCTTATAGTTTGTAGTTTTGTTTGCACTACACATGCATGTTTGTATTTTTTTCTCCATTTGTGCCTTTCTTCATTAAAGCCCACAATTTATTTGCGGTAATAGCCTCAAAAGACCTTAAATTTTTTTGCCTTTAATAACACTGAGGAGGGAAGAGAGAGAGAGAGAGAGAGAGAGAGAGACCTCACTTGATTGTGGAGCTTGTCATCTAGCTTGATTGGGTGCTAGATAAATTTGGCTCTGGCCTGACCTTGTTAATTGCAACGCTTACTTTCAGAAAAAGAAAATAAAGTGTAAGCCTATTTACTTTGGTTTCAATCCTTTTTTATTCTCTTGTCTTAGTCGTAAAAGTGTTTGCTGCCAAGATTTTGTGTTTTGCTAAGGTCACGACCGTTTATTGTTATCATCTTACCTGATCCATCTTTTCCTTGATTTTTTGGTTTGTACGAAAAGACAACATGCGATTTCGTCCTACATAAATTGATGTAGAATTGTTTATCTTTTAGAATGTTATTTAGAATCCGAGATACAGTTCATTGATGAGACCCCAATTTCTGCCTGCTGCAATAAATTTCCACTGCAGATACTTATCTGAAATTAAAATTTCTACTGCAGATATATCTTACCAATGATATGTAATACCTCCTAGAATAATCATTTGGAAGCATTTTACATGTTTTCTATTTATTTTTTCCGGAGTTTTTCTCGTCTCATGGAAAAGTTTGTTGAGCCTCATTATTGTCAGATTCATTTGGATTTTCCCATCCAACCACTTACAATCTCTGGCCTGTTTGTGGCATTAGAATGGGGAAGGGAAACTTTGCCATTCTCCATCTTCTTGCAAGTAGGACATCAGTTATTTTTAAACTTAAAAGGAATATTCATTTTATTATGATCTATCTGAGACTATCTGTTGTAGTAACCTACCTATTTTACCTATTATTGGTGGTCATTTGTTGCTTCCTCTCTCGATATTGCAATTCCTGTTGAGTTAGGAAGGAATGAGTGATGAGTCAGAAAATCCGGCATCAGTCTCCTCAAAAGTTCCTTGAGTTGATGTCACTGAAACATTTACTACTTGGATCCTCTAGTGTTAGTCATCTTAGAGCTAAAAGGAAGTCTTTAAGACATTCCCGTTCGTTGGGAGGAATCAGATCAATCTTAGGGCTTTCAGTGTGTCAAAGACTCTAGCAAATCCATCTCGTCTTTCCTGATCAACAGCTCCAATTCCCATCATCTTAATACATGTCTTTAACTTAGGCTAGCCGCTAGCGTGGATAGCTGGGTGGTGAAATCTCTCGGGCTCACTATTTGAAATTTAAAAAGAAGGGGAAAATAAATCATTTAAATTTGAATTGACAATAAATCTTTGATTTACACTCATGTTATTGTTTTGTTCATTAACTTCCACTTATCTTGCCTTTCCTTGTGAATTTAGGAAACTGCGGATCATCTACTCTATCCGAATCCTGGGTCTGGACTGATTCATGATCAACACCTCCAGTATTTTCATTTTCTGGGGACAGTTCTTGCAAAGGTATTGGCACTTCTTTAATGCTTGTTCAACATGACCTCTGAAGATCACTGATTGACTAATCTTCTCACATGCTGTTGTATATTCGTTCTAAACTAAACAATACACATGCGTTGGTGAAAATTACTCCTAGGAGGTATTATTATCTTGAAATATATCTCATTATCAAGTCATTATCATCTTGATATAAATATGCATTTCATTAGTAAAGCTTCTCATTTTGAACTGGAAACTGGTTGTGTGATTTAACGGATCAAAAGGAAGAAAAAACAGCAGTAGTGTGATTTATCTGGGGAACTGTTTCTGACTTTCTGCGTGAATACCTTTCTTTGATGATGGAAGGGAAAATTTCTGCTTGTTTAGCACTTATTTTGAATTCAAAGTTTGTTGATGATGACATATGATAGTACATTTCTTCATTTAACATCATTAAACAAAGTTCAGCTCAACTTGCAGAACCAAAGGTAAAGTGTAACGTACGCCTAGTGGATCAGCTTCAGCTCCGCATTATCTTTTACAATAAAGTTAACTAGATAATGTTTTGAGAAATATCAATGCACCTTATCAAGAGAGATCATTTTAAATGGAATGATTTATTAATTTCTTATTAGCAGCACTTATATACTATTATTTTTGAGCTTATGGGTTTTAAGCTAGGACATTGTTCGTTGGATCTACTCCTCTCAAGGTATTTCCATTTTGTGCCTTGAATATTTTATCTTGACAGTAAATGCTTTTTTTTTCCTTTCGTGATGTTGTAGGCAATGTTTGAAGGCATCCTTGTTGATATTCCATTTGCAACATTCTTTTTGAGCAAGTTGAAGCAAAAGTAAGCTAATAGAAGAATTCTTTTGTGATCTAATTTATTTTGTAGTTGTCTGGATTCTTATAATGTAGAGAATGCATGATGAAGGCTTTGTGCAAATTTTCTAGAAGAATTGACACATAAAACCTTACTAGAAAGATAACTGGAAACTCAAAAAGAAGTAGATAATGACGCCTTATTTTTAAAGAGACCAGCTGCTTTCACCAGGAAGTAACTTAATGCATGCAACAGATCATGCAATTGACACAAAGTAATGTTTATGTTCTCTGTGGATCCAGAAAATTCTTTCTTTCAAAGATGCCATTTAATCATGGTTATTCCGTAAATGGAACTAAGGAGTTGGTGTTTTATGAATATTTATTGTGTAAAAATTCCCGACTGTAGTCGTAATTCAAAAATCGGTGATGAACAGGCCTTGAAGAAAATTATAACATATCCTTCACTGTGTCACTTTGCTTGGCCTAATATCCAATAAGAAATAAATATATCATACTTTAATACAATAGCTCATGTAAACTTAGTTTTTCTAAATCGCCGTGCTATTCAAATGAGGTTGCCTATTTTAACTGAGATAATATGTAGAAACTTTGTTTTATCAATATTTTATTACTGCCTTTTGTTTCATTGAACACTTAATCAATCTTTGGGTGTTGCAGAGTAGTAATTCGCTAAAAGAAAGCAATCACAAAATAGAATTACTAGCTAAAAGAAAGCAATCATTATATTGAGAATCTAAAAGCAACTGAGTCTTATAGTAGGTAATTCCATAATGCTCTTCTGGGTAAGAGTGACATGCAATATGCACATGCATATTAATAGACAATAGACACATGTTGAACAATATTTTTACTGAAAATACTGTAGGGTGTTGACAGTGTGGGCTGTGGAAGGGTGTAGAATTGAAAGATTTGATATATTGACCTAATTGGACAGAGATCTTTATGTCAACTTGGAGTGCACCTTTTGAAGGGCATTCTCATGTCTAACAGTTCAACATTTCTACCTTGTTGGTCACAAAAAGAAAAACCATGTCATTTCTTCAATAACTCATTGTGACATGCATATTTGGCCTCACTCACTTGGTCCGTTCTCGTATTTTGCTCCTCAGGTATAACTATTTGAATGATCTTCCTTCCTTGGATCCAGAATTGTATCGCCATCTCATCTTCCTGAAGGTGATGTTTCTTATATCCTTTATACCTCTTTATCACATTTGAGTTATTTATACTAGCGTCAGTTCTTATATTTATGTTTGATGCATTCTGTATGGTAAAGATGGTTAAATTTATTTCGGTTATACTCTGTGGAAAAGTAGCAATGCAACTTATAATCTTGAGAAATGACAATTTTTCTGTGAAGTTCTTTTTTAAATTTTATTTCCCTCTGTTTTTGTTTCTTGAGTTTTCTTATACTATGCAACTTGGAAAACCATGAGTGCTTTGTTTCAAGCAAAAGTTTGCGACGGAGGTTCTAATTGGGAGTGGCAATATCCCTGTAAGCTCACGGTGAAAATAAATTTTTATTTTGTTAAAAAACAGAGTGTTTCAGGATCTTGCCAGTTCTTATCCCATATTTCCATATTCTGTTTACACTTTTATAGTACATGCACCTTTTCCTTGAATTGGTAAACTAGAGTTATCAAGGAATCTCGTTATAAGATCTTACAATGTCGAAGAACTATCAAAAAAATCTTACCATGTCTAAGAGTGGTACTGATAAAGATTTTGAGGTATTCATGTTCCTTTATTTTTTTTCAGCCTTGATCCTTCCTCTGCTTTTTGCTTTTTTTGTTTGGTGAACTTTTTAAAGGGTCTTTTAGCCCCCCTGCTAAGCCTAAATAGTTAGAATAGATGGTAGAGATAATTCATTCTAGTCCAGATCACATGTGTATTGCAGGTTTGAAAATAGGTTGGGATCCATAACTACATGAAAGACCACAAACAAATCGTTCGTGTAAGAAATTTGGAAGTTAACAGCCACAAATATTATGATCTAGGCCAAATTAGGTGGGGTCTACAAGAATCCTCAATATCCATTTCGTGCCAGTTAAAACCATTACAGTCCAATATCCGTAATTTGTCTTTCAAGACTAACTAGGGGTTCACTAACACTAATGATTAAGTTTTGTCCTTCGGAAAGGAAAATTATGTTATTATCATCTGCGTTACTTGCTAAGGCATAAAATCAAACTGACATATCTTTCCTTCTGTAATGTTCTGAGCCTGTGAGGGATGAGGAATTTGAATATGCTCCTCGTTTCTTTTACTTCTGTTAGTCAAATTCTAACAGAGGGGGGAAATCCCAGGCCCCTGCATAATAGTAGGCGAGCCTTATGAAGAAAATCTAGAAAAGAATATAGTGGGGGCCCATACATGTTGATTTTTGATCATGTGCTACTGACATGGTGTCTTTTTCATCTCTTGAAAATCACTTTTCTCTTCTACCTATTACTCATTTTATTACCTCATTCTTTGACTTTTTCTCAAATTTCAGCATTACGAAGGTGATGTTTCAGATCTTGAGTTGTACTTTGTCATTCTCAACAATGAATATGGAGAGCAAGCGGAAGAAGAGCTGCTTCCTGGTGGTAAAAGCACACGTGTTACTAATGAGAATGTCATCACCTTTATTCATCTTGTTGCTAACCATCGTTTAAACTTTCAGGTTATTTACCCCCACTCTGTTCTTTTCCAACCTACTGCTCTTTGCAATATCACAATATTTCTGTGAAGAACTTTTTTGTGTGAGATGCATATCCATTTCATAGTTGTTGCTTAGTCTATCTTGTGATGATGTAGATCCGTCAACAAAGTTCTCATTTTCTGAGGGGTTTCCAACAGCTAATACAAAAGGAGTGGATTGACATGTTTAATGAACATGAACTTCAGGTGCTAGCATTTATACTTCTGTTACACTTTTTTACATTAGAAACATTGTTGGTTTACCTATTATACTCCCTCAGCCCCACTTTTTGTGATGTTTGACTGGGAGTACAGTCTTAAGGGAGAAAGAAAGAAAGACTTGTGAAACTTGCTGTGAAAACATCCCATAGAGATTTCTGTGGCTATAAAATCATGTTATTAAAGGTAAATGGGAAGTTCAAAGTTAAATTGTTTCCAAATATATAGAAGTGCCATTCTTTTTTAGGCAGAGGTAGTATCATTTTATTAGAAGAAAGCACTTGAAATTCAGGAAAGTTACCTATCCCTTGCATCTCAACTGCACATCTTAACAAAGTAAACCGAGTTACTCCGCTTACTTCTCTGAGGCATGATAGATTACTCTGGATAAAGCTACTTGTAGGGCTTGTTATCTGTAGTAAGTTATTGAGATCCGCCTAGCCATTTACAAAGAGCTAGTAGTGCCTTAATCTGTCAAGATATTTTGCTGAGAATAAATCATTTGGATATAAAAACCTGAGCAATTATGAAAGAACAAAATTTGAGAGAGAAGGATTTGCATGAAGCCTGAATGACTTACATTTCAAGCTCCAACTTATTGAGAACTAGCTGTCGTATGCTGCCCAAAGAAGATGAAAAAAAGAAAACGATAATTGCGAAGAAGAAAGTCAATAGAAGCCTGGACAAGATAAAATTACTTGTACGCTGGAAAATTATCCAATGGGCGAGAATTGTTTTGTGTTCTAGTCTAGATATATTATAATTGTTATGTTCTTAATTAGTAAGAGGTCTAGTTATCTGTGTCTTACTTTTTGGCCCTGTTTTCAGCTTCTTATTTCTGGATCACTTGATGGCATTGATATTGATGACCTTCGAGCTCATACCAATTATACAGGAGGTTACCACAAGGTAACTGCTTCTGCAATTCTCTTCAGTTTCTTCTCTGAATGTTTCTCTTCAAAATGGTTTCCTGTTTGATAAATCGGACATGTCTGCAGAGGTTGTATTCCTCATTTTCGTGAGGGAATATCTCATGTTCCCACAAGATAAATTATATCGTGTGTGTTTCTCTAAAACTAATAGCAGAAGTATATACCTTCAAGTTCATTTATTTTTAAAAAAACAAGTTGTAGTAGAATGATAGAAGGTTTGGAGAAGAGTACAGCGTGCATCAGGTTAGAAATAATCTAAGAGGGTGTTTGTATTGGATTTTTATAAAAAGCTTATAAGCTTATAGCTTTTAGCTTATTTGTGGTTTTTTGTTCCAAAAGTAAGTGTTTAAACACACTTTTTATCTTTTTCCCAAACACCACAAAAAATAGAAAAGGAGCTTAAAAGCCAAATGCACTTAAAATAAGCCAATCCAAACACCCTCTAAGGGTAATGTTTGCTTTAAATCAAACATGATCTGATGACATCTTCTAAGGAGAGTTCAAAACTTATTTTGGGTGACTCTTTTACTGGCATAGTTGTTGTTTTCTTTTATTATATTATGATGGTGATACCGAGTTGATGTATAAAAAAAAATTAATCCCAACAATCTTTCGTGGGTGCAACTGGAAAAAACTGCTTGTCTGATTGATTGATTCCTCTGTTTTTTCAAAAGATAACTGGAGGCCACACCAAAAATAAATATCACCTCCAAGATTTTTCTGAACCAAAAAAGTGTCTTGCATGCGGCACACCCTGGAAATTCTACAGTTAGGAACTATTAGGTTCACACTTAGTATGTGGGCATTGTTATGTAGTGGATAATACTTAAGTTTGGTGCACACCAAATAAATAATACATAGATTGTTATGACTATGATACCAAAGTCGAGACTTGTCTTAATCCTAATGTTGCTAATACATGTATCTTATTTAATCTTCTGTCTCATATAAAATCATAGAGAGATTTCCTACAACAAGTTAAGCAGATATTAGTTATTCTGAGTTTTATTGCCGAAGCTATACGCTGTATTAGGAACGCAAATAATGCGGAGTTTTATAATAGAAAGCAGTTGTAATATTAATAATGTAAAGCTATATGCTGGTATTATTTTGTCCTTGTACATCAAACAGAACGAATCCATAATGTTTCAGTTTAACAATCTGCACACATTTTCTCTCTTCTCATATGCCTAAGCCTTGGTGAGAAAACTTATCCGGTAAATGTGCTGGTGGGTCTCAGTGGAATAGTCAAGATACACGCAAGCTGGTCTGGATCCCACCGTTTTAGAACGAAGTTTTCCTTTGACAAACGAACCCTATTCAAAATCATGGTTTGGTAACCAGTAAAAAGGTTTGTTTGTTTTAATCTGTGAATTTTCCATATAAAAGCTTCCTTTTTTTGAGAGAAGCTTTTATATGGATGAAATAGCTACACTGCTTCCTTTTAGAAAAAAAGAAACCAAGACTATTTCCTAAAAAGTAAACTTGAAACACTCACCAATGTCACCATTCTGTTTGCAATAAAAATTCATAAGAAACATAAAACCTGTTCTCCCCAAACCAAACTAGACATGAAACATTTTCCAATCCAAAGGCAACGAAAGCCATAGTTTTTCCAACTTAGTCTATAAGTGTAATCATGAAGTCTATAACCTAACACAACGTAGAGGATAAGAAAATTGTGTCCCATGTATTGTATTCTGAAAGAGAACAATCTTGAACATTCTACTGTAGCAAAACCAATAAAACCCTCCTGTAGAATGTTGCCATCATTGCCATGAGTCGGGAACAAAATCAATAAATGATGGTCAGAACTTAGAAACTCACCAGTTTCAGATGGTGCAGTAAAAATCACCTCAAAACAGTCCATATATTCGTTTGTGATAGATCACTTTCTGAAAAGTAATGCAAAAAATCTGATGTGGATCCTTCTCTTATTGAAGATGAAATGTTGAAGCTTATGGATTAGTAGTATGCCTTCTTGACTATAGTAATAGAGGTATTTTTTTATATGTATAGTAGTCATAGGTATTAAACGGCTCATGTACCTTGGATTAAAGCTAGACTTAAATTATCTAGAAGCTGAGCATATGTGAGTCATTTAGGTTAATGAGCTACATTGTGGTTTCATCAATAAATGCTTTCTGCTTTTCTATTAGTTTGAATACGTCCTTTAACTGTGCATAACTAACTGAAGTACTTCTCACAGGAACACTATGTTATTGATACGTTTTGGGAGGTTGTGAAAAACTTTTCTTTGGAAAATCAGAGAAAATTTCTGAAGTAAGTTTTACGCTTCTCATATGTTTCTTGATACATTCTTGTTCAGAAACAGGAAACTGCTAAACTTTTCTGTTTTAAATGGTCCATAGGATGTAATTTAAGTAACTTGATCTTAGGATGCAATAGGATGACTGAGACTTTGTGCTTCTTTTCTGCCATCTTTAAACATGATGTTCTGATAAATTATGCGTACACTACATGATGAAAATAAGTTTGGGATGTGATTTGGTATTTCTTTTTCACCGAGTAAATTGCTTTCATTTTGCTTCATCTGATGGGTTCCTCACTCTGAGGTCTGAAATGGTTTGTTCAACTTCTGTATTTTGGCAGTTCTTTGGTACATTTGAGTATTGTGTTTTTCAATCAGTGGATCTTTAACTCAGAAGTTTGAAAAGATTTTGCCTATTTTTTTCTGAGATCAGCCGTTGTATAGCCATTATTGTTTACTTTGGAACATCCTTAATAATATAGCTTAACATGTTAACGGGAAAGGGGTGGAAGGGGAAATCTGATGTTCTTTTGTTTTTTTGTTTTTTCCCTCTTAAAATGTTCTCCCTGATTTTCTTGTTTTGTTTTTGTCTCAAGTAAACTGTCTGCAGTGTAATTTATTTTTTGTCTCCATATGTCCTGTCGAATAGCTATGTGCAGGTGCAGAAGTTTGATTTATTTAAGTTTTGAGGAGAAGTATTTCATAGGAAAAGCTGATTTTAGTGTGTTAACAGTGAATCCATGGTTTTGAAAAATAATTTAGAAATATTTCTGCCAGTACCAAATGCTGGAAAGTTGACAAGAAAGCAACTTACTCTCATTGAGCACCTTTCTTGAGTGAAAAACATTTAATCATCCAAAATTAAGTTCAAATCTTTAAGTAATTAGTGCTAGGGGTTTCTGTTCTGAGCTCTGTATAGAGATCCATGTGGATTTCTAGGTATCCTTTTCTTTTTGCTCACTCTTTCGAAGAAGTCTGTGGAAACTATTAATGCTTCAGCACTGAAGATACAGACTGTTTCCTGGGCACTAGAATATGCCTGCAAACAGGTATGGTTTTGTTCAAACAGAAAAAAGGAAGAGTAGTGGCATTTGGCAGAGTCCTAAGCAATAGCACTGTAAAAAAAATGTGTTGAAGACACCACTATGTCATCCTCTATGAGATTCTCTTATTTCTCATCATATCTTATAAATTATCTTTTTCCTGAATTGCTTCCAAGGATTAAGCAACTGTTGTTACAGATAATATGGTGGTCGGTTTGGCATAAAATACCCTTCTTTAGTATTTGTTTTTTTCCATCTTCCCCGATGTCCATAGATTTACTCTACGTCATAAAAGGAGCTTCTGCTTAGATGATCTTTAGTGCATTTAACCATCCTGTGTCTCCTTTAGGTTAAAAATACAGTTTCCCACTTAAATGTGTTGATCCTACGTCCTGGTATTGAACATCCTAGAGAGAAAAAGCGGATATGTATGAAAATGACACATATATATCTATGTTATTGTGGTCCTTGGACCCCCTTATAGTGACATTAGGTGTTCAAATTGTATTTAGAAATTTATGAAATATGGAATGTTGATGGACAGCTTTTACATGAAATGAATGTTACTTATTGTAGATAGTTTTGCAGACATTTTATTCGTGTTGATTCTAATGTTCAGTAGAGTTAAATCAACCTCATCACTTTTTCCTTTTCGGTGCCAGGTTTGTGACTGGGTGCTCACGAGGACCCTTACTCGGATTTAAATATTTGGAGCCGTTGTTCTGCATACAGAGGTTAGTCTATTTCTTTATATGATGTCTTTTGTTGAAGCATTTGATTTGGTATCCAATTTTATTTTTATTATTTTGGTTTTTGCCTTCTGATTAGAGCGGGTGGGCATGCTTCTGATGAAGCTCTTGATCGTCTGCCGACATCAGCTACTTGCATGAATCTTTTAAAATTTCCACCATACAGAAGGTTTGCTCTGTTTTAGTGATATGTATTATTGTTACAACAATGTGATACAAACTTAAAACTTCAAAAGCAAAAGAGATGTATATATGGTGCTTCTAAATTAGTGTACATCCTTTGCTTTCCTTTTATCACTACAAAGGAGTGCCAGTAACTGTAATTTCTTTTATGGTGCAGCAAAGAGCAGATGGAGCAGAAATTGTTATACGCCATAAATGCTGATGCTGGTTTTGATTTAAGCTGATGGAATTATCTGTGCATGCAATTTTGGAGTATCCGCTTTTTATCTGAAGCAGCTTGTGTTCTTCATTGGCATAAAGGAAAACACATGAAATGGTATGATCTGTGCACCACCATGGATCATACTGGAAAGGAACTGCTAATTGCTACACAGTCGATGGATGGTCAAGAAGCACGTGTAAATAAGAACCCCATTACCTACCTTTTGACTAGATGTGCATACATACCCCAGGTGCACTGTATATCATCCTTTGGGAAGTGAATGGCACGCGTGCTAGACATTTCAAACTCGTTGAAAACGAGTGTGTAGTTAAGAATTATTTTGAAACTTGTCGAAGCTTATATATTAGGATGATCATAGTCACCGGAAGTTGTCAACCATTTGTATTCATTGTACAAGTTTATGCATCTCCCACGAGGTGCCCAACTGCAGCTAGTTGTAATATCCTTGAACGGTTAGCTTGCACAGTACTTAATATATATTTATACTATGATGCGTTGTACCTTGCTAATACACTTTGCGAATGGATCTTGAATCATTTAGATTTTAGTCATGTTAGATTTGGTTTGAGTTAAAGCTAACACACATAAAAATCAGTACCAACTTGTACAATGTTTGGTTGGAATTTGAGGACATAAATATCAGCACTAATATAAGGTAAAACTACATAGGTCATAAAATTCAAAATAATTACAAGTTCATACCCAAATTGAAAGTGCCCATACCCGCATTCATAAAGGGTGATAATTTTTGTTTAAGTGATACTAAATTGGTATCACATACTGTATTTGTATCATTAAGGTTGAAAATTTTGCTTAATTAATATTAAATCAATATATATATATATATATATATATATATATATATATATATATATTGTATTGGTATCATAAAGGTTTTTCTTCAGAAATTACTTATTAGACGGATATTATAAGAGTATGTATGTATATTGTTATGGTAATATTAAGGTTTTTTGTTCAGAAACTACTCATTAGTCAATGATACTATAAGAGTACATATATTTTATGGTATCATTGATACCTGTGTATATATATATATATATCAGTCTTAATGATTCCAATACAATACATATGATACTGATTAAGTGTCAGTTAATCAAAATTAGTAGAGATATAGTGTAATTATTTAATGGGGTATGAATGTATAGAAGTATATGTTTGTTATTATTTTGTTTTTATGGGGTATTTGATTATTTACCCCGTATAATGTTCGCTTGGTTTTTTTTTGCTTACCTCATAAATAATACTCCTTTAGTCCAATAATAGTTGTTCACTATATAATTTTGGAATATCAAACGATATTTGTTTACTTTATTAAATCAATAGATAATTTTACACTTGAGAATCGTTTGGTAGAGTCTATTAACAAGAATAACGCATGCATTAGCGTTGTGTATTAGTAGAGTACCTTATTTGGTACACTTTTTAATGAAGTCCGGAGCCCGAAGGGTAAAAAAATTGACAAAAATTTCAAAAAGTCATCTCAATTTTTTTTCTAAACAAAAGGGAAAAATCGTTATTGATGTAGCCATTTTCTTTTCACAACGTTAATTCGTTAACAGATCAAAATCGTTGACCTAGCAGCGATATCAATGCATCATTTTTGCAAATTTTTTAAAGAAAAAATAAAAAGCGCTACCATGGCAACGTTTTTGTAAAAACGAATTTTTTTCAGATATTGTTGCCTTGGCAACGATTTTCATTAATTTTTTTTATAAAAAAACGTTGTTGTTGTAGCGTTTTTATAATTTTAACGGGAAAAAAATTAGAAATTGCGCTTGATTTTGGTGAAGATTCTTTTTTTTAAAAAAAATATCAGGTGGATAATTTTTTCTTTTTGAAAAAAAATTATTTTTAAAACTTTCTGCCAACTAGTCAACATGTAATAATTCGGTGGGATTTCGTAAAAAAAATTGGGCAGTAATTTTAGTAAACAAATAATTTTTAAAAAGAAAATTGTTGTCAAGGTAGCGAAATTCCCCTCTAATTTTTTTAAAAAATATCGCTTCTCGCGCAACGATTTCATAAACAATAACTGTCTTATATATTCATGATCGTTATTTGAATTGGAACAATTTCATAAGCAAAAATTGTCTTATATATTCATGATCCTTATTTGAATTGAAGTGTGTTGAATTACAATATGGAAGAGCCTAGCCATGCTTCCATGCACTTGAATTCTTTTCTACCGGAGTCAACTGATAGGTAAATAATGTGATTTTTTTTTATTTATTAAAAGTAAAATTTTTTAATACGCAATACATTTATAGTATTATATTTTATAGGTGTGAGGAACTTCAAGATGCAGTGAGTTATCGTGCTAATTGTGAATAATAATATTATGTGTGATGAACGAGTTGGTGAGTTGCATAGTGATAAATCTACAGAACATGAAGTAACAGACAATGATGAAATGTATGAGAATGATGATGATGATGTAGATAATGCACCTAATGCACCCGTTGAAGATCAAAGTGTTAATCATCATTCTACTATGATTTATACTTAAATCACACTGAAGAAAGTACAGAAAATTTTATCTATACAAGAGATGATGGTTTATCCGAATGACACTTTGAAATCCAAACAATCCTAAATATATTCAGTCAAGTTCGATTGTTGAAAATTAAAGCTTTATAGTTATTTATTTATTCATTTTATATTGATTAATCTAATTTGTATATGTAACTAGATATTATATTTATGAGGGATAATGCTCAAGTACCCCCTCAACCTATGCCCGAAATCTCAGAGACACACTTATACTATATTAAGGTTCTATTACCCCCCTGAACTTATTTTATTATTAATTTTTTACTCCTTTTCGACCTACGTGGCACTATTTTGTGGGCCCAACGATGATTGACTTTTTTTTTCAAACTACTTCCACGTAGGCTAAAAAGGGGTAGAAAATTACTTATAAAATAAGTTTAGGGGGGTAATAGGACCTTAGTATAGTATAAGTTTGTCTCTGGGATTTCGAGCATAGGTTGAGGGGGTACTTGTGTATTATCCCTATTTATGAATAAGAAGCAAATGAAATATATCGTAAGAGCATATAGTGTTGCAATAAAAAAAATTTCTTTGTGATCAATCCAAGAGTAAAAGTTGGAGAGTTATTTGCAAGCGTCGTGAATTGAGGTGTAACTGAATGCTTCGCTTTAGAGAGATTTCAAGTGATAAATGGAAGGCAAGAAAGATGATTGAACCGCATACGTGTCTTACAAATAATTATAAAGTGGATCATTTCAATTTGAATAGTATCGTGATTGCCACTTCATTGATACCATATGTTATGCGAAATTCAGACATAAATATTAAGTTGATCGGTAAAATCATTAAAGGAAATCATCACTTTACTCCAAATTATAGAAAAGCACTAAAAGGTCAGAGAAAAGCATTTCAAATGATTTATGGTGATTTTGAAAGTTCATTAAGGCATTACCTCGATACATGATTGCACCACAATTATTTAATTCAGACGCTATGATTAGTGGCAGCATCATTCTACAACAATTCAAGGTGAGAAAATCTTTAAATTTCTTTTCTGGGCTTTTAAACAGAGCATTGATGGTTTCAAAAGTTGTAGCCCGGTCATCTCCATCAACAACACAAATCTTTATGATTTGTATGATGTGATTATTTGCATTTGGGATTGGTGCGAATGAAAATATTTTTTTCACTTGCATATGTGTTAGTTGCACGTGAGAGTTTTGAGTCTTGGTCATGGTTTCTCAAGTTACTATGGACATGTGTTGTTTGTAAGCGACAAGGATTTTTTTCTCATTTCTAACAGATCAAGGAATCTTCCAAAGTATTCAATCTTATGATTGGTTGAGTCCACCCAACACATATCATAGATTTTGTATTCGACACTTAAAAGTAAATTTTAATAAAAAAAATTTGTAAATAGTGCGCTCAAAAAATTAATGTGGTTAGCTGTCACAGAGCACAAGAAGAACAAGTTTGTGCAAAGGATGCAACAAATCAAAATTATTATCTCTCGCAGCATATGAATGGTTAAATGAATTTCCTTTGAAAACTGGACAATGTGTAAGGATGATGGTCGTTGATAGGGTGCCATGACGACAAATGTGTTCGAGTCATATAATGGTTTATTGAAAAAAACTTGGGGGTTTTCTGTGACTGTCATGGTTCGAATGACGTTCAAAATTCTTGTTGATCGTTTTATCAAAAAAACTATCAAAAAAAAAAACCTTGCGATCACATTACTTCAAAGTAATATGTTGTGGCCTCTTGTAATAGATAAAAAAAATTAATGATTATTATCAAAGATCTCAAGGATACACTTAAATGGTGACTTACAACACTGATGATGGAATATGGTAAAGGTGAAAATGTCCACAAAGTTACTGCAAATGGTTAGAAATGTTCTTGTGAAAAATGGAGAAACTATCATATGCCTTGCTCGCAAGCCATTGAATTTTGTGGACTTCGCGAAATTGAGTTAAAGTCATATGCAAGTAAATTCTACAGCACAAAATATTACAAACAAACATACTGGGACATTTATCCAATTAGTGATGAAATGTATTTGACGCCCACTCCTTTCAATTTGATTTCAAATACTAAATATTTGCAGACATGTGGTATGCAAGTAAGAAACCAACTTAAGAATAATAGGAATATAACTCCGAATTCGCATGACCAGAAAATGTAGTGTTAGTAAAGAAACGAGTTACACAATGGTACGATATCCTACTCAATTTTAAATATATTGTTTATGTTTTTGAGATGAATGTAATTTTAATGTCTTGTTATTAATATTATAATACATCATTTTCAAATATTTGTTGACATGAATTTAATCTATCTTATTGCATTTTAAATATATTGATTAAATTGATCCTCCAAGTGAGTTAAAAATAATAAGATAATTTAGTATTTTGTAAAGTCGTTGTATTTATATTATAACTATTTAATTGATTTGACCTAAATTAAAAAGTAATGATTCAACATAATTTAAAGGAAAAGAAACATCCTTCAAATGTTTGAAAATAAAGAGGAGAGCCTCATAATTTAAAGAAAAAGAAACATCCTCCAAATGTTTAAAAATAAAGAGGAGAACCTCATTGCACAAAACAATAAATTTTAAGTTCTTTGTTGAAATTCACATGAAATAAGAAATTTCAACAGACAAAAAGAACTGATCTATTGCACAAAATTCTTTAGTCTTTCGAATAAAGATAAATAAAAATTATTCTTCTGAGTTTTTCAAATCTTCTACGACTTCATTTTCAGAATCATTCGAATCTTTCTCATTTTGATAGGGACTGTTTGTTCCACATCTGACATCTATTTGATTTGTGTAGCCTGAATGTTCTTTGAGGTGGATTTTCTCTATCAAAAATTGAATGTAGTGAAGTTTCAGCATTAAACCTTCGATCATGGGACACAATTACATACAATACAATATAATATAACTAAATAAATATGCACGAATAATTATGAAAAAATTATAAAATCTCAA